TACTCACCTTCCACTTACACAGTCTCCAGCCAGACTGCAGCGCTGAGCACATCAACATGGAAACTGAGTGCACTACGGTCTGGGACAGCCGCATCAGGGAGCGACTCTCATGACTCTGGAGAATCTCCAGAGTCTCACTCTCTCGGTGCACAACAGGGTGCACAGCGGGGTGCACAGAGGGCCTTTCCTTGACAGTGGCCAACACGGGGGGCTCAAGCCCCCCCGGGCACACATTCAGGTCAGAGACCTTGGACTCTTTGCGGGGCTTGACCAAATTTTTCACATCAAAGTCCGTGGAGGTCTTCTCCACTCCCTTCAATGGTTGTTTCTTGGGCTGCCCGGATATGTATGGCTTGGCTTTACGTTTCCAGGACAGGACCTAAGAAATAAGACACAGGGTGGGCTGGATAGCTCAGTGGGTGAGAACTCCTGCCAGGAGTGGGCCTCACAGCCTAAGGTGGGTCCTTGGCTCCTAGAGTGGAGGGAGGAAATCAATTCCCAAAAGTTGGCTGCTGACCTCCACACTCCATGATACATGCAACCCCCACACACATCACACATCACAACAACAACAATAATAGAAACAAGACACAGAGTGGGGAGAGAGCAGACCCTGCTGTAAACACAACGAAGCTAGGGATGACTGTCCTCCCTCCATCGTTCCCCAAAGCCCCTCCCCAGCCTTCTTAAACCCTCATTTCCTGCCCTGTCTCGTTTAGCCACAAGAGACCGAGCAGGAGGGCAAAGTCGTGAGGGTTGCTATGGCCCAGATGTCATGAACCAGAACGCCCATCTCCTGGCCGTGTTGGGTTTGTGGAACTCACCCAGCCGGTCATCTTTCGCCAAATTCGCCTAACCCATTTCAAGAGCCTCCCGACCATGGTCATCTCTCCAGACACAAGTCCGAAGTATGGTGCAAAGCCGGCATTTGGAGTGTAGACGGGAAAAGGCTATGGGCCAGTGGCCACCACCAGAGAGAATTCGTGGGTCCTGAGGAGCTTCAAGCACAGTAGCAAAGGAAGAAATCAGAAATCCAAAGGAAGTGTGCCCCCCAGTGGCTCATGCCAGGCCCTTCCTCCCCTCCCTGGGACAGGGAGAGGAGTCAAAGTGGATGAGAACTTAGAGTGAGGGAGTGTTCTAGATCATTGTGAGAGCTGTCCAGCCCCAACCCCCCAAGGACCTTCCAAGACCTTCAGAGCCAATCACTGATGCCTTGTCCCTTCTGGCCCAAGATCCAGGATAATGAAATCAACACCAATCAAGAGCCCAGATACACTGTGGATTTTGCTAGTCAGTCATGACAGCAGTACTTCAAGGTAAGTGTTATGGATAGTGAACACAAGAGTCACAGTAACTGGATTTGAGGGGGCTGGAGAGATGGCTCTGCCATTAAGAGTGCTCTTGCGGGCTGGAGAGATGGCTCAGAGGTTAAGAGCACTGCTTGCTCTTCCAAAGGTCCTGAGTTCAATTCCCAGCAACCACATGGTGGCTCACAACCATCTGTAATGAGATCTGGCGCCCTCTTCTGGCCTGCAGGGATATGTGCAGACAGAACATTGCATACATAAAATAAATAAATCTTTAAAAAAAAAAAATAAAAAAAAAAAAAAAAAGAGTGCTCTTGCAATTTGATTTGGCTAATTCCTACATACTGAATATTTACGATGTTTCTTCATACATGGGTATTTCTCTTTACCTAAGCCCCCATTCCAGCCCCCCCCCAACCCCCTATGCTCCATTCCCCTGAATTATTTTTGCTATGTTAGACGCCTGAAAAATGTTGGTGATGTGGGGGAACAGGATGAGAAAGCAGAGTGTGGGATGAGGACTCTGTATTCGAGGTGGAGAAACTTGATTGTGTTACTACAGGAGGAGCAGCAGAGGAAAGAAGGAGATACCTAAGAGAGGTGTGAGGAGGAAATGGGAAAAAGGAAACTTGGCTTTCTCACCTGTTTGTTTCCATGACTAATTTATACACCTATACAATATCAGTGTCGGTTGCTACTAAGAATTTAGCTGGGCTGAGCCGGTCTGCTTGTGAAATTGTGCTGGTTATCAGTCATTTGTCCCATCAGACACTTTACCAGTGTTCAGTCAAGGCTGAACAGATGATGGATTTGGATGTTGTCATTGTTTATCTACAGACTCAAATCATAATCATTTTAAAGTACCTTGGGAATGTGTAGAATGTAACTATAATAGCTTTATGATTCAGATGATTTTTTTTTTTGTTTTCGAGACAGGGTTTCTCTGTACAGTTTTGGTGCCTGTTCTGGATCTCACTCTGTAGACCAGGCTGGTCTCGAACTCACAGAGATCCACCCACCTCTGCCTCCCGAGAGCTGGGATTAAAGGCGTGTGCCACCACCACCTGGCCCTGATGATGGTTTTTTTTTTTTTAAGATGGATCTTCCATGTTAACAATCACAAAATTAAAACCAGTATTAAAAAAATAAAAGAAAAAAAAACAAAAAAGAAAAAAAAAGAGCACTCTTGTTGCTCTTCCAGAGGACCGGGGTTCAATTCGCAGCAACCACATGCTAGTTTACAACCCTCTCTATCTCCTGTTCCAGGGAATCCAGCACCCTCTTCTGGCCTCTATGGGTACCATGCACTCACATGGTACAGACATACATGCAAGCAAAACACCCATACACACAAAATAAAGATAAAATAAAAAAAAAAAACTGGGTTTGAAATAGGCATGGTGGTATATGCCCAGAATCCTAGCACTTGGGAGATGAGGCAGGAAGAGTAAAGAGTTAAAAGCCAGTTTCAGCAGGTTAGGGTGATAGTCTGTTAGTACAGGGGACCACACAAGCATGACAACTTGAGTTTGGGTCCCCAGCATCCTCTGGTGCGGCTGGTCTGTAACACTCGTGGGGAAGCAGAGACAAGAATCCTGGGGCTTCCTAGTCAGTCTAGCTCAGTCAGTTAGCACCAGGTCCAATGAAGACAGCCTATCTCAAAAAATACTGTGGGCCGGGCATGGTGGTGCATCCCTTTAATCCCAGCACTCGGGAGGCAGAGACAGGAAGACCTCTGAGTTCGAAGCCAGCCTGGTCTACAGAGTTCCTGGACAATCAGGGCTACACAGAGCAAGAAACCCTGTCTCCAAAAAAGGAAAAAACAAAAACTATGGCCGGTGATTGAAGAAGACAGGCAAGGTTAACTTCCGGCTCCACGCGCATGCGCACACACAGATTCAAATGAAAGTCGGCCTCGGCCACCTAGTGAGTTCAAGGCCACCATGGGCTAGGTGACACCCTAGTCACAACAACAACAAAAGACTGAGGTTACAGGGCTGGAGAGATGGCCCACCAGTTAAGAGCATCCACGGCGGCCCACGAGAGAGACCCTGACTCCAACAAGGACAAAGGTGAAGACTGACACCCACGTTTATCCTCTCTTCTCCTCACGAAGACCATGTCAACACACACGCACACACACACACACACACACACACACACACACACACACACACACACACACACACACACACACACCCCTGCACACACACACCCAAGGGCCAAAGCTCAGCACCATTGGTGAACACCCGTAATCCCTGCACACAGGAGCAGCAGGCTTTCAAGATCATTCTCAACTATATAGTAAGTTTGAGGCCAGGCTGGTCTACAGGCTGAGACCGTTTCAACCACCACACCCTGACTCTAAAAGAAGACATGGGGTCCAACCTGGTTGGGCTGCCAAGGACTTAACACCACAAGACATTCTCCCTCGAGGCTCCAACTGCTATTGCCTTTTTCTCCACCAGAGGGGGTCCTTCTCCTTGGCTGCCTCCATCTGACTGGGATAGAAGCCCAGGCTGGCCGGGAGGAGCCTGCTCACCCCTGGGCCGAGTCCTCATCCAGCCAGGGGTGGGGTGGAAGCCAAGGCGGCCTGCCAGGCCTGGCGAGAGCACCATGTGCCCAAAGAGCCTGGCCCACACCCAGCCTGAAGACAAGGGACCCATTCAGGGTTCTCTGCCCTGCCTCCAAGCAGCCACCCGGATCCAGCCCACAAGAGGGGACACACTGGGAAGCTAGGGGTGGATCCTCACACTCACCAAAGACTTCATTGTTATCCCCCCCTTCACACCGCCAACCACCAGCACGTGGGTAGACACCGCCCCCTACCTCTTTCCCGAGGCTAGCCTGCTAGGCCTTTCCAGGGACCAGGACGCTCCCTGTTGTTTTCAGCTGCCTTCTCCAGTGTGGACCTGGGATCTTCAGGGAAACTCTGTGTGTGTGTGTGTGTGTGTGTTTGTGTGTGGTTTTTTTTGGGGGGAGGGGTGCCCACATAGGTCTGGACACAAGCAACACCACACCAATCTCCATATTCAAGTTTCTTCAGATTTTTTTTAATTATAATTATTATTTTAATAACAACCTGAATCCCAGAAGTTGAAGATACTGTCCATACACCCTCCCCTGGACAGAGGAGAGGTGGCGCTTGGAGGGGACAGGATGGGGTGGGGGTGGGGCCTGCCAGGGAACCTCCAAATCTTTCCAGGCCATCTATTGCTGGGGGGAGGGGGGTCCCCAGAACACTGACACCCAGGGAAGAGGGAAGGAGGTGGTGCTGGGTTCTTCCATGGATGAGGAGCTCCAGACAAGCACCCAATCCTGGGTTTTCCCTCTTCCCGAAAGGCCTGGGGACTCTGGGGAGACCAGGTGGGAAGGGACAGGCCAATAGTGAGCCTTCAACTCCCATCCCTGGGTGCTGGGGTTGGGCGCGGGCATTAAAGCTACACAGAAGAAGGGGGCAGGCGGCTGGCCCGAGGCCCAGCAGCCAGTGGCAGCCCCCCCTCCAAAGGCACATTGTGAGGGACAGGAGGCTCAGACGGAAGGCCCATTGGGTGCAGAGGGCCCGAGCCGTGGAAGCCCCGAGGATGGCAGCTGGGCCAGCTGCTCCGGGCTGGCCAGGGCACGTAGCAATCCGTTTTCCTGCTCCAGCGCAGCATTCCGCTCCGCCAGGTCTCGGATCTGCTCCTTCAGTACCTCAACCTCTTCTCGCACGGCAAACATGAGGTGGGACTTCACCAAGTCCTGGGCCCCAGGGACAAACCAACCGTCAGGCCCTCCCAGGCCACCTCCAGGTGCCATCTCCTACCCAGGTACCTTCGGGGAGTCGTTATGAGACACCCAGCCCCCTGTGCCCAAAGGAGGGGGGAGAGAATAAAGGAGAAGCGGACAGGGAGAGTCCCGGGGTCAAAGGGTGAGAGACAGGACCAGACAGGGATGGAGCACAGAGGTTAAGGAGGCCAAAAGCTGATGAAGGAGAGATGGAGCGGGACAACGGGAGCTTGTGTTCCGAGTAATGGGAGAAGGGAGATGGACAGACGGACTGCTCGAGGGCCTCCTGGGACCAAAATGTCTTTTCTTACCATGGCTTGTTCAATCTTGTTGTCAATGCCAACCAGACTTCCGGAACCACTGGAGAAGACACAGAGAGGTACAAGTTGAGGAGGAGGAGGAGCCCCAAGTCAGCTCTGCTACTGCCTTCTAGGTGCGCCTTGCTCTGAATGCCCGGCCTACACCCCACCCCGTGCCCAAGGTACCTGTGACAGTAGAGGATCAGGGGGAGGAGGCTTTTGTCCATCCCCCGGCGGGGTGAAGGTCGCTGCCCAGGTCCCCCCAGGCCCTGGTGGGAAGGAGGTCCCAATGCCCCTCGGATGGGGGATGACCCCCGTGGGGAGCTTGGGGAAGACACGCAGCCCCTTTTCCGGGGTGCCCCTGGCGCCATCCCCACCACTCGTGTCTCATACGATGATACCAAGGACTTCACAGAGACCCCCGGCTGGGACATTCCTGAGGTAAGGATCATCAGCATCCACTCCCAACCAAAGGGCTGTCAGAGGGAGTGCCTGGGGGGCTCAGAGCCCCCCGGGGCAAAGTAGAGTTCTGTGGATGCCAGGCAGGCAGAGAGGAGTCAGGACCCACCAAGTGCTGGCCTGAGAGATATACACCCTGCCCTCCCCCTCAGGGCAAGGCGCAGCTGCTATTGGTTCCTCAGGGACACGGGGACCCCCTCCCTTGGCTCCACAGTGGGCGGGAATTCCCAGACACACATGGTCTGTGCCAGTGTCCCCTTCCAGCCTGGCACCACTCCCAGGTTGGAGGGGAAGGGGAGGCGAAGTCAGCTGGTAAGCCCCGGGTGGGGGAGGGGCTATAGGGCAAGAAGGCTGGCACGGGGAGGGGCTTGAAGGTGAGAGCCTAGGAGGCCTGTCCCCGACCTAGGCCTGCCTTTCTGCGCTGTCTGGATTAACCATAGCCTCCCTCGGGGAAAGGGAACAGACGAGGGGTGGGGGCGGGGACACCCCACCAAATCGAAAGTGTATACATTTTATACAAGGGCCACCTAGGACAGAGGGTCCCCCAATTCCTTCAGTGGCGGAATTAGGCATGGTTTCCATAGCAACAGAAACATTTCCCACCCCACCCCACCCCCATGCTAGGAAGCCTGTAAATCAATGCCGGCCTGTATAGGACCCGAGGCTTGGATGTGGAGGTCTTGGAATGGGTCAGGGCTTAAGAAAAAAAAAAAAGGTGAGGGTGGACATGGGACACATGTGATGGCATCCGTAATTTTTAGTTTTAAGGCCTGGCTGCAGTTTGTCCAGTGGCCACCAGAGGGCAACTCATGCCTGGCTCAAAGGCCCCAGGGCTCAGGCTCCTGATTGGCACCAGGATTGAATGTCTGGTTCTCACTCAAGCCCCTCTGGTCACCTAAGACTTTCTAGGGTCCCCTTGCCCCGCTCCAGCCTCCAATGTCTCTTTGGCCACCAGAGAGGGGAAGGCAGGCTCTTGTTTCGGTTACCCAAGCCTCCTTTCTGCTTCCCGTGAGACTCAGGGGTCTCCAGCCCTGTTCCCTCCCAGAACCACTTTGCTCCAATCACAGATCGCCGGCTCCCCGGTAGCCCCTCCCACACGGGCTGTCTGCTCCAACCTGCTTTCCTACAGGGGGATCTGTACTAAGTCCAAGGTGACCCTTGCACGAGGCCCGGCTGCCAGAAAGGGAGCTGGGAATTTTCCATTTCCTGGCCAAGCTCTGAGTGCAGGAGGTGCTGACAGGTAGGACAACCAGGGCTGACCGGGCTAGAAGAGCAGAGCATTAGTGACTAAGGACACCTGGAGGCCCCAAAGGCACAGAGGACATGTGTAAGAACGGAGGTGGAGGGGCAAGAGGGCGAGAGGGTTCATGGGTAAAGGCTCCTGCCACTAACCCTGACAACCTGAGTTCCATTCCCAGAACCTACATGGTGGAAAGCAAGAACAGACTTCCCCAAGCTGTCCTCTTGATCTCCACAAGCCTGCCATACTGCACCTGGACACACACCAGTGTGCAAGCACACATACTCACAAGTGCGCACACACACACACACACACACAAACAGAGGACCAGCTAGCCAGTGTCAAATCTGTTTTCAAGCCACAGGGATACAGAAGTAAAAACCCAACACCCTTCCTCCAACACAGAGACACCAAAGATGGACAGACGGACCAGAATAGACGTGTCAGCCCTGCTTGGCGGACACTCAGGCCGAGATGCCAAGTTAAATCTTCTACCCTCGCCAGAAATAAAGGAATAATACAAGCACCAGCATTTGTTGGCTGACTGATGGCTGTCTTTTGTGTGTCCAGCTCAGGAGTTTGTGAAAGCACTTCCCCTACGCCATTCTAGCCCTAACGGCAAGCCAAGCCAGGCCTTGATCCGCTGAGTGAGGGGCTGGTACACTGGACTTCTTGGGCAAGGCTGGGAACAGGTATGGTAAGTGTCACAAGTCCCCACACAACTCTGTGTGGACGAGAACGAAACAGCCCCTTTCCCACGACACTGACCACCATCGTTCCCCCAACTGTCACCATTTCCAACATAGGCCAGGGATGACGCCATGTGGAAATGGCGCCCCCTGGGGGTTGCTCAGTGCACTACCTAACTGAAGAAGACAGCAACCTTGCAGGAAGGACCCTTGGGACGAGGGCATCTCTCGAGGCTGGACTCTGCCTCGGAAGGTCAAGTACGACAGCTTGAATATGAGGATCAGAGGATGACGAGTCTGTCAAGAGTTGGGGACGTCCAGATCCTGGGGATACTGGCCGGCTTGGCTCCCCACATATGTTCTGGGAGCATTCAGAGGCTGGGCCCGAGGCCAAGAAAGTGGTATCCAGCAATCCTGTCTACACTCTCTCCCAGACCTGATTCTGTGGTGCCTTTGGGGGTGGGCAGGGCAGGTGTGGGCCAGGGAGGGGGAGGGGCTGGCTTCCTGCCCCGGTTTTTGAGCTGCCCCTGCCTGTCTTAGCAAAAGGACATGGTAAGGACCACTGTCACCTCCTGCTCTCTTGGGACACACGCATTCCAACAGGAGAGCGTGTGGCTTTAGGGTGAGACCCAGGTTCACTGCCTGAGTGACCTTGGACAGCTTTCTTTTCTCTTGAGTCTCGTTGTTTCCATCGGGAAAGTGAGGAATCATGGGATTGCTTTTACAATTCATGAGGTAAGCGTGTGGAGGGGTCATCCAGATGGCTCAGTGGGTAAAGGCACTTCCCACAGAGCATAATGACCCGAGCTGGAACATCAGGAGCTACAGAGTGGAAGGAGAAAACAGACTCCCACAAACTGTTCTCTGACCTTTGACCTCTACCCCCACACAATGGCACACATACACGCCAACGTGTGTGTTACACACACACACATTCACAGATACATGAAAAAAACTTTAACTTAGCAGGGACTGGGGAGGTGGCTCTCAGTGGGTAAAATGTTTGTGCCATAGGCAAAAGGACCCAAGTTCGAGCCCCAGAACCCAAGTAAAAAAAACAAACCAGGAGTAGTGGTACATGTTTATACTCTCAACTCTGGGGCGACAGAGACAGGAGAATCCATAGGTCTCGCTTGTCAGTCGAACTGGCTGGTTCAACGGGCCCCAAGCCAATGAGACGTGCATGCAATAGCATGCACACGCGCGCACACACACACACACACACACACACACACACACGCACACGCACGCACAGGAAGGTCGATAGCTCCTGAGTTGTAATAATCAGTTGGCCCATGTGCACCCCCCACATGTGCACACGCACACGCACACAAATGAACACACGAACCCACGAATGGGAACAGCGCTGGAGAGGGCCTGGTGGGGCGTGTCTGTCATCTCAGCCTCTAGGAGGCTGAGGTAAGAGGACGGCAAGTTCAAGGCCTGCCTGGGCAACTTAGCGGGTCTGTCTAAAAGTAAAAAAAAAACAAAACACGCCGGGCGGTGGTGGCGCACGCCTTTAATCCCAGCACTCGGGAGGCAGAGCCAGGCGGATCGCTGTGAGTTCGAGGCCAGCCTGGACTACCAAGTGAGTTCCAGGAAAGGCGCAAAGCTACACAGAGAAACCCTGTCTCGAAAAACCAAAAAAAAAAAAAAAAAAAAAAAAAAAAAAAAAAAAAAAAAAAAAAAGAAAAAAAAAAAAAAAAAAAAAACAAAACACGAGGAAAGGGGGTCGAGGCGGGGCTCTGGTGTGTAGCTCAGTGGCAGTTGGTGCTCACACGGCGACTGTGAGGCCCTCCATCTCCAGTGCCACAAAAACTAAAAGCAAAAGAAAAATAAAACAAAAACAACAAAAAACAAACAAACAAAAAACAAGCACTGGACCCAAAGGAAAATATTGGACACAATTATGTGGCTTTGGGGCTGGAGAACTGGCTCAGCAGTTAAGAGCACTGACTGCTCTTCCAGAGGACCCGGGTTCAATTCCCAGCACCCACATGGCAGCTCACAACTGTCTGTAACTCCAAGATCTGACAGTCTCAAACAGACATGCATGCAGGCGAAACACCAACGCACATAAAAATAAATAAATGTGGCTTTTCTGCCTAAAGCCTCTGGACTCATTTCCTACACAGCCTCGAACCACTAGCTAGGCATCTGCCCACTCATTCACCCTAACCAAGTATCTCCCACCCTGTACAGGATCACAGATCTTCCAACCGGAAACAGTCTGAATTCACCAGCACCCTATTAACCCGTCCCAGATCCAAGCACCGGGAAGGCACCCCCAGCTCAACATGGTACCCCAGCACTTAACACCACAACCCACTTTTTTCCCTCTCAAAAGGAAAAACTTCGCGCCACTGGGAACCTTGGTCTCCTTCTAGCTCTAGGAGGCACATCCGACAGGTGAGGTGGGGTCTACCCACCCCATTCCTAGGGGGTAGAGGATGGCCCAACCCAAACCCGCTGGCCCAGCAGGGTGAGGCATGAGGGGCTGGGTTGGGCCAAAGCCCCAGAGCCTTGAAGGCTGGGAGCAACCGGTCAGACTGGGGCGTGCAGAGGGGGTGGGACGGGGAGGGGGAGGGGGGAGGGGACCTGTCAAAAGAATGGGGCTTCTTCAACAGGTAGAACTCTCATGACAGAGAAAGCTGGAGGTGACGCTGAGAAAAGGGTAGAGGAGGGACACGGAGCCTTTTTGCCAGGGAACTTCCCAAATGGGGGGGTGGGGGGTGGGAAGAAGGGCTGAGAATAGCATCTGATGGGGGCAGGTGACTCTCTGGCCCTGGCTGACCTCACACCTCACACATTCCTGAGAGGCAGCTGGAAGGCAGCTTAGAGGCTGCCCGGCCCTGCCCGGCCCAGCACCGGCCCCTTGTCCTCCAGCTCACATCTTTCTGCCCACCCCTTTCTCCTTTCTTTTATGGCCCCAACTCTCTCTCGAGGCCTCAGGCCTCCTCTCTTTCGTGGGCCTGGGTCTAATTCCAGAGCGTGGTGGTAGCACCTAGGGGGAAGGTGGGGAGGAGAGATCTGCACCGAGACAGGTCTCCTGGAGACACCCACTCTTTTTTTTTTTTTTTTGGTTTTTCGAGACAGGGTTTCTCTGTGTAGCTCTGGCTGTCCTGGAACTCACTCTGTAGCCCAGGCTGGCCTCGAACTCACAGAGATCTGCCTGCCTCTGCCTCCCGAGTGCTGCGATTAAAGGCGTGCGCCACCACTGCCCGGCGACACCCACTCTTTTAGTCCCACTGCTCATTGCCTTTCCAACAGGAAGTCCCTCCCTTCAGGGGCCTCCAACAGGAAGTCCCATCTCTCCCTCCAATCAAATTGGAGGCTGGCGGGCTCCTCCCTCCAGCCCCTAGCTCTCTGACTTGGTCAACATTTCTAAGCATATTGAAAGTAAAAGTCTGCCCACCATGCCACCAATGAGGCATTCACCCCTAGTAAGCAAGGCCAGTCGAAGCACCCCCTCTCTGTGGTCCCTTTTTTACCGCCAGGCATTGCTGTGGGAGGACTTGGTCGCCATGCTCCTCCGAAGCCTATTGGTCACATCCGCTCACAGGGAAGAACTTCAGATCAATTCCTTCTTTCCTTCCCACCGCCGTTTTTTTTTTTTGTTTTTTTTTTTTTTTTGGACATGGTTTCATACATCCTAGGCTGACCCCTAAAGTTGTTAGGTAGTTAAGGGTGACCTTGAACTTCTGATCTGATCTTCCTGCCTCCACCCCTACCCCAGGGCTGGCTGGGATTATAAAACATGACACTACCAACCTGGTTTATGCAACTGAGATCCGCCTGCCTCTGCCTCCTGAGTGCTGGGATTAAAGGCGTGCGCCACCACCGCCCACCTCTGGTTTGTTTGTTTTGGGTTTTTCTGTTTGCTTTTTGTTTTTTTCAAGACAGGCTTTCTCTGTGTAGCTTTGGTGCCTGCCCTGGATCTCGCTCTGTAGACCAGGCTGGCCTGACCTGGAACTCACAGAGATTTGTCTGGCTCTGCCTCCAAAGTGTGTGTGCCCTGCTCCAGGCTGGTTTCTAAACCCATGGTGATCCTCCTGCTTCAGCCTCCCCCAGTGCTGGGATTACAGGATGGAGCTACCACACTCCGCTCCTCCCACCATGTTTTGAGGCGGAGTCTCCCTATACAGCCCAGGTTGGCCTTGAATTTGAAACCCTATTCCCGCCTTCTGAATTCCAGATCACAGCTGTGCACCCAGCCACCACACCAGGCAGGCAATGCTTTCTTGGTAGTAGATAGTCTTGGGCCCTAAAGTAGTCTGTGTGGATTAAGAGGATGGCATGTCACAATCCCACAGGGAGATGCCAATGGGGAAGGCAACAACTGCCTATTCACTCTATTTTTACTGTTTTGAGAGAGGGTACGATACAGTCTATACTGGCCCCAAGGGAGTTTATGCAGCACTGGAACCAAAGGCCTTGTGCCCGCTAAACAAGAGCGCTACCCACTGAGCCACATCCCCAGCTGTCTCCCCTGCCCTCTTCCCATTTTCTATTTTTTTGTTGTTGTTCTGTTTTGTGAGACAGGGTCTCACTATGTAGCCCTGGCTGTTCTAGAACTCGCTCTGTAGACCGGGCTGGACTTGAACTCTGAGGTCCACCGGCCTCGACCTCCCGAGTGCTGGGATTCAAGGCCTGTGCCGCCACCGCCCAGCCCCGTTTTCTATTCTCATCTCCAGTGTATGCGCCAATGGATTTGATTCCTAAGGCTGGCAAATGACCTCTAGATCTGCAAGAGCTCTGAAATCCGACAACAATGACTCCCTTCTAACTCAAAAACTCTGACTTAACAGTCCTGGGCCAAGGAGTCCCACCCAGCTCTCTCCACAGAAAGGGAGTGGGTCCTAAGTGAATTTCACCCAGCGATTATACCCCTGCGAGGTCTCTGTTTAGTCCCTTCCCAAGTTCCTCTAAGGAGAGGGAGCCATATCAGGCAGAGTCGTGCAGGTGTGACACCAGGTGTCACCCTCCGGTCTCCCACAACACGGAACGAGCCCGCCCACCTACCTATCGTCATCACTGTCCAGGTGACCACTGATGGCCAGCATGGACCGAGCCAGGCTGAGACTCTGGGCTGCTGCGGCTCCAAAGGGGTCTGGAGACTTGTGGACCAGGCTGGCATCGAAGTAGAGGGCTGGTGAGTTGGGGCGAGAGTCGATCGGAGGCACCTGGAGGCAGAGGAGGAGCGGGTGAAGGATGGGGACACGGCGCAGAGGGCAGGGTGCCTGTTTTGGCACACACAATGGGTTTCATCCCCAGCACTGATAAAAAAGGACTGAAATGGCATGTAGTTCAGTGTTGAGAGAGAAAGAGAGGGAGCCTGCCCCCTTCCAACCTTATCTAGGGGTCTGCCTCCCTTTCCACCACTCCCATCTCTCCCGAGCCCTAACACCCTCCCCCTCTTGCAGACTTGCTGGAAACAATACGCAGGTCCTAGGGAAAGCGGGTGTGTGTGTGTGTGTGTGTGTGTGTGTGTGTGTGTGTGTGTGTGTGTGTGTGTGTGTGGTGGTATGATGAGGTGTGGGGGTTTCAAAAAAGGACTCCTTCTCACCCTCAGCCAGGACTCCCATTGAGAGGACAATGTACTTTGACAGTGAGTATCTTTTTTGAAATGAGGCCTCCTGTAGCTCAGGCTGGCCTCAAACTGACTATTTAGCCCAGGATCACCTTGAACGACTTGCTTCTTGGTCTCTTCCCGTCTCCATCTCCCAAAGGCTGGAGCTTTAAGCAGAAACCACTCTGGGCATGCTTAGGCAAAGGCTGCACTGAGCTACAACATCCTCGGAGTTCCTCCCTCCCCAACCTTCTTTTCTGTGACAAGATCTCACTTTGTAGCCCGAGCTGACCCAGAACTTGCTATGTGGGCCAGGCTGGCCTTGAACTTGTCATCCTCCTTCCTGCCTCTGCCTCCCCCAGTCGTGTGCCTTCTTAAAGGCACTCAAACGTCGGCTCCTTACAGAGACACTTCCTCGATATTTACCAGTCCATGGAACAGCTTCTTTCTTTCTTTCTTTCTTTTTTTTTTAATAGCATCTAGGACGATTTGAAAATTAAAGTACTTATTGTGTCTCCCCTGCTGGAAGGTGAATTTGTTCTGTGGCTGTCTGCAGAATGAATGAATCCTCAGAAACAGCTTCTCCACACCCCCCCTCTACCCTGGAGGTGGCCTCTTCTCTCAAACTTCTAAGACTAGAGATGCAGTTCAAAGATTCTCTACTCTGCCTTTCTGGGGGGGGGTATGAAAGTGAGAGGGGGCCGGGGGGCCGGGGTGTGGAGCTCTATAACCCACCAGGCAGCAGCTGGGGGCAGCTGCGAAGGGGCGGAGGTGTCAGGAACTGGACAAGAAGCCTCTGTGAGGGCCCCTGAGAGGCTCCACCTCAGGAAAGCCAACAGAGAGTAGAGGTCGGTTAGAGACAGAGCACAGGAAAGGGGCACAGTTATCACTCACCCCTTGTCCTCCTCTACCTCCCCCAGCTCTTTTTTGAGACCACGGGACTGAATGAGAGTCAAACTCTGAGGCAGGGCAATAGCGGCAGTTACGGGCAGACAGGAAATGATCAGGGCAGACTGGGAGGAAGGAAGGGGGCTGGGGACACCGTGGGGAGAGACGCAGGGTCTACAAGCCTAAGGGAGGCTCAGGCTGGCTTTACAAGTCGAGCAACGGGGGCCGCCAAGATGGCTGAGGGAATAGAGGGGCTTGCTGCCAAGTTCGACAACCTGAGTTTGGCCTCACACGGCCAAACCTTCACGGTGGAAGGGCCGCTCTGACTCCCAAGTTGTCCTCTGGCCTCCACACACACACACACACTAAGGCATGCATGTGCCCACACACGTTCACACATAAATTAAATAAATAAATGTAACGAAAGTAGGGCAAAGGGCCACTGACAGACTTGCCCTAGGAGAGTCTAGGGACAAAAACCAGGCAATGGCAGTTTATCCAGGGGACAGAAAAAAACAAAAACAAAAAACACACTTTAGAAAGATGGGAAATTTCGATAATGAAACGGGAAGCTGAAGGCCAGGAGAGGGTGGGAGAGGGTGGGAGAGCTGGTCCTAACCAGTTCTAACAGGGCTCGGGCTCAAGATATTTTTACACTGTGGTTTGAGCCCATGGCCAGGAAGAGACAGAACCTTCATCCTCACACCCCTGCCTCCTCCTGGCAGCCAAGGTGTTATTTTCTCCACAGCAGAAACATCCAACTCTCCCATCCTAAGTACACACACACACACACACACACACACACCAGGGAGCCAGGCATCCTGCCCCCAGCCCAGACTTGCAGTCAGCTTCCTCTTTTGGAGACAGGAAGCAGAAACAGAGGACTTAACCCCTTCCCCCCTGCTTCCCCACCTCCCACCCCATGGTTTCTGAGGTCACCCCATCTGTCACTCCCAGAGAAGCCCAGGTACAGGGTACTGAGATGACTAAGAGCGATAGGTGCCTCCTCAACCCCAACGCCTCGGAGAAACTGCTTTGCAATAAGGCAGAAAACGGGCTGGCCTGGTGGCTGGTGGGAAGAATAAAGACCCAGAGGAATGCCTACCTTTTATGGCTGCCCCAAAACCCTGCCAGCTCCTCCCCTCCAGGGCCTAGCCAGCCACCCAGCTGAAGCCTCCACCCTCATCACCTGGAGCCAGAGGAGGTAAAGGCTGAAGCGGGCAGGCCACATATGCCACAGGCGTTATGGAAACAGTCAAGGCCAAGGGCAACAATTTAAAGGCCACAAAGGGGGGGGGGGGGTCGGAAGGAAGGAAGAGAGAGAGAGAAAGAAAGGGAAAGAGAGAGAGAAAGAAAGAAGGAAGAGAGAAAGAAAGAAAGAAAGAGAAAGAAAGAAAGAGAAAGAAAGAAAGAAAGAAAGAAAGAAAGAAAGAAAGAAAGAAAGAAAGAAAGAAAGAAAGAAAAAGAAAGAGAAGGGAGGGAGGGAGGGATATAGAGGATAGAAGAAAGGGAGTCTGGGAAAGAAAAGGTTTTCAGTGTACAAATTGCTGAATGGGAAAAGGGACTTCATGCCCTATCCAGTAGGTGACAGAGGAGGTGGGAAGGACAAGATGGAAGTTGAAAGCAAGGAGGCCCAGGATATAGGTCAGGCAACCACTGGGTCCAGTAGGTCCCGCCCCCTTCCGTGGTCTCTCTGACCCTGGAGGCCATCTCTTACCTTCCCTGGCTCCTCTGGACCAACTAACTCCATCCTCAGCCGAACTGCTCCATCTCTTCTCCGTGACAGTGGAGGGGTTCCAGCTGCTGAACCCCCAGACTCCACTTCGACCCTCAGAGAGGGCAGGGGCTGAGCGCTATCTCCAGGCCCAGGCCCTGGGGGGCGTTGCTGGGGTGGAGAGGCTGACAGCGGGGGTGTCTCCACCTTGGCCTTGCCAGGCCCTGCCAGCTGGCCCAGCCCCCCTGTGAAGGAGCGGGCCTGTAGTCCAGGAGAAGTGGGGGGCGGGCGGAGCCAAGAGGTGGGGCCCTGAGACAGGCCTGGCTGTGGGATAGGGGTGCTTATGCCCAAGCTAGCCAGCTCCAACCTAGAATCCAATGATCTGCCTCCAGTGCCACCCGAGGCCCCTCGAATTCCCTCCAGGAGCCGGCCGAAGCTTGGGGGCTCCAGGTCTCTCTCGTAAACATCCACACACGTCCACCGACCTCGACGATAAGGCTCTCCCAAGCCTTGGGGCAGCTTCACCACGCGGAAACGGGAGGCAGGGGCTCCAGGTGGCGGGGAGCCATTCCGGGGGGTGCCCCTGCCCCCTGGATCAGGGTTGGGTTCCCCATTGGGGAGGCGGGGCGGGGGCCCAGCGGGAGCCGGTGAGACAGGGGAATCCGAAGCCCCTGGGCTTCCTGGGCCCTCATAGTCCGTGGTGACGCTGGTGATCTGAAAACTACTTTTCTTCTTACCACCACTCATGGTCCCTGGGGCTCCCGACTAGGCTCGGGTGGGGGAGGGGCTGGGCTCCTGGAGAGGGGCTCAGGCACCTCTGGAACAAGGGGGCCACATGGCAGGGACATCGGGGCCCCTGGGGACGTCTGGGTCCGACATGGCAGGAGGGCCTTGTGGGAACTGGGGGTGCCTAGTTAGTGACTGGAGTACAGGGGAGGGGAGGTGACGGGAGGGGGGGCAGAGGCAGGTTTTTCCTGCTGCTGTCGCTGCTGAAACCCCAGAGCTGAGCTTGCAAACTGGAAAAAGAGAGAGACAGAGAGTGAGAGAGAGCGCGACTGTGTGTGTGTGTGTGTGTGTGTGTGTGTGTGTGTGTACGTGAGCAAAAGAAAAAAAGCAGGGGCCAAACCACCTCCGGGGCTTCCTCTCGGGGGAGCCGACTGGGGGAGGAAAGAGAAAGCCACTAGAGACCCAGAGACAAGTACAGATGACAGACTAGAGCAGAGGGGACCGAATCCTGAGCACCCAGAACAGGAAGCAGCAGCTGGGACCCAAAGTTGGGCATTTCTAGCTTGAGATCCAAAAGTCGTCCTCAACACGGGTCTCCAGGGCCAGGGGCAAAGGGGTGAACCGGATCCTCCCCTGAAAGGGCCACCCCGAGGCCTCTGCTGGGCCTCAAGCCCACCCCACCCCCATCCGGCTCCCCCATAGCTGGCTAGGCACTGCCCGCCAAGCCAAGCGCCCCGCCCAGCCCGGGAGTCATACCTACCTCTCGGGCCTCGGCCACCGAGCTGAGCTGGAGAGCGGACCTGGGGACTAAAGATGTCCCTTTTTTTTTTTTTTCCTTAGGGCCTCTTGGGCCCTTGAGCAATGCAGGCCACGGCAGACGGCAATCAGGGGCTACCCAGTGCTCTCCGGCGGCTGCATCTCACTCTGCGAGGCATCTCCGTGGAAAGTTTGCAGCGGAGACGAGAAGAAACCGGCGGCGCTTCCACGGCGGAGCCCAGGCGCGGCCTTGGTTAACACTCCGCGGGTCTTCCCGGTGGCTGTGGGAGGGGGCGGCTCAGCCCCCCGCTGGCTCCAGGTCCCTTGAGTGGCTCCCTCCAGGCTCCTCCCACGTGGCCCCACTGGATGGAACTCTGGGCTCCTCGGCTCGGCTCCGTCTCTGTCTCCGTCTCGGCCTCTCTCTTTCTGGGCTGTTGACAACCCCCACACCAGGAAGTCCTGCCTTCTCGGGCCTGCTCACTGCTCCTCTCCTCCTCCTTCCCCTCTTCCTCCTCCCTCCTCCCTCCTCCCTCCTGAGGCTCCCTGCCAGCTGGCACGGAGCCAAGCCTGCCACAGCCGCAGCCGCAGCCTACAGTTGCTGCTGCCGCTGCTGCCGCTGCTGCTGCGGCCCCAAACTGGCTGCTTTAACCCTACACCTGCCGCGATCCAGCCAGCTCTTCCTCCGAAGGAGGGGCGTGGAGGGCGGAGAAAAATAGGAGGAGCCTGCGGGAGGCCAGGGATTCCCTTACTTGTAAGCTTTTGCTGCGTTTGGTCTCCCGGCTCCCCCAAAGAGTCGCAAGGAACGTGCCAGACATGTTCTGGGTACCTGGCTGTCCATAAATACCTAGTACATGTTACCGAGTGGCTGTGATTGTCCCACTCGTGTCTGGTTTTCACCGTAACTTCACGGGAAACTTCCCCCTCCCCGCTCTTTTTCAAAAGCGGGTGGTTATGAAAATTTTCAAACATGCCCCAAAGTAGAGGAAATAGGATAATGAACGCCCACGCGCGCCATCATGGACTTGTGACAATTATCAGCTCTACCCAATCGTGTTTCATCCCTCCAATATCTTTTTCTCGGATTTTGCTACAGTATTTGAAATTTTGTACTACGTGTGTGTGTGTGTGTGTGTGTGTGTGTGTGTGTGTGTGTGTGCGCGCGCGCGCGCGCGCGCGTGTGCCTACATCTGGAGGTTAACTTGCAGGAGTCAGTTCTCCCACCATATAAGTCCCAGGATGGAATAGTGCCAGCCATCTGTTTTGGCGGCAAGTGCCTTTACCCACTGAGCCATCGTGTTTATCCTGTTCCTGTATTTTTGTTGTTTTTAGCGGGGGAGGGGGGGGGTTGTTCGAGAAAGGTTTCTCTGTAGCCCTGGCTGTCCTGGAACTCACTCTGTAGACCAGGCTGGCCTCAGACTCAGAGATCCGCCTGCCTCTGGCTCCT